TAAAAAAGTTTATAGCAGAGAAACAAAAAAATTAATTAATAATGAATGTTTAACAGGAATTTTAAACCAAATAACATCAGAATGTAGTTATACTAAAATTTTGCAAAATTTTCAAATCAACTACATAGAACCAAATATAATTTTAACTTGGAATTTACCAAAAACTATATTAAACCATAATTGTATAAATAACGAAATAACAATAGAAGGAAACAATATAATAAAAATCTTTAATTGTTCATTGCAAATTAATGAAATTTCAATTTCAAACAATATGTTAGATTATACTCAAAGCATTTACGTAAGCAATGATGTTATAAAATTAGAACCACTTTCGTTTGTACAAACGAAACAAATTATAAATGCACATACAAAATTTAACAATGTATTCCAGATAATTACAATAACCATATTTGTAATCATATTAATAAGTTTAACACTGTATTTGACATATAAGTTCAAAAGCATACCTAAGAAATTAATTATAAAATATAAAAAACCCAAAGTAGAAGAAACACCTACAATAATAGGAGATATACCAATTGTAAAAGAAGAAAATGTTACACTATATCCAAACTTAAACACCTGAGGACAGGCACTTTTCTAATGGTTGGGGGAGTGACATATCCATAGTCGCACCCACCCTTTAACATAACTTAGCACATAAGCATAAGCACAATTATAAACATTTCTAATATTGTAAACAAAGAGCCTGGTGATAACATCGACATTGGTCAAGATCAAACTGTCCCCCTTTGGTAGACATAAACAATTCACCCTAAATATCACGCCACTGTCAATGTTCCCATCAGAGTACTATCCCACGCATAATTGCTGACGCAGCTCAAACTTCACTCAATTTTGACTCAAACTCTCTCAAAGCGAAGTTTGCTAAGCGACCGCAACAGTTAGATAAATCAGTTCATATTCGGGAAGCAAATCTGAATGTACTCAACAAAAGTAGCCGTTAAGTGAAAATAATAAATTGAAATATATTTTTTTATAGTAACCTAACGTGTAAAACTTAATTATATATATAAAACTAATATTGTTAAAAGACAAAATGATCAATTCTATAAAGCTACTCAAGTGCTGCTATTGCAAGGGACAACGTTTATTATTTAAACTTAAGACTAAACAAACAAAATCTGACAAAATTGAATTAAGCATAACTAATCCATGCTATATGCTCTATATACATATATGTATAGGCTGAGGTACATTTAAAGCTGGGTTTGGGGCCGTACTTAAATCTTAAAAAAAAAAAAAAAACAAATACAACTTTTGTGCCGAAAATTATTAAAAAGAAAATAATGTATTTAAAAGAGCAACAAAACAAAAATTCATAATATTTCATGTTGTTCGAGCGACTTTTTGACTTCGTGTTTGTTTGTTAAAATAAGAAAACTCTACATTTAAGCAATCTATGTTAGTTAATAACAAAGATCAGCTCTGTCAGCATAATTTTTAAAATAGTCAGAAATGAGACAAAAAAGAAATGAAAAAGATATCAACATTTTACAGGTATTTACGCATATAAAGCATTTAATTCTAGTTATACTTATATACACATATGTATTTACACGACATCATGATGCATCAACATGAGCCACATATGCATATGATGGTGTATCCATTTTATATATACTCTATATGGTACACCATCTTATGCCAATCTAGAACAATTTTTTCGTATGACTAACATGAATGCAAGTAGTTGAAATGTTGCTATTTTGATTTGTAGTTGCTTGATTTTGAAAACTAAAACCAAAACTAAAACTAAAACTTAAACTAAACTAACGCTTGACAAATCCGTAGTACTCGAGAGCGATAAGATATCTGAACTAAATTTTGATTTGCCTGTGAATGCCTGGAGTAAGATCTGAGGGGAGATCGAGTCGAGAAAGCATCCAACTACAATTTCACAAATGCGACTTTCTTCTATTTACAGACATTTTATCTAGCGGATTTATTGGATGTGGGATGCACTGGCGTGGCCATAAGCATTTTTATCATACGCTTAGCAATCAAAAATTTATATATATTGGATTGAGAAAGAGTCAGAGAGAGAGAGAGAGAGAGAGAGAGAGATACAAGTAATTGTCCCAGTTCAAATTTAAGTCCACTCTTCTTCCAGTTGCAGTTGGGAAACGTGTTCTATAGTTCAAGTTTATACTTTGCATTTGTACCGTTTCTATCGTTATCGTTACAGTTATCGAATTATCGAACCTATCATAAGCATATGTATGTGTATTTGAGGGCGCAACATTCGTTTAGCCAAATTATGGTTTATGTGCGTTTTATTGTATTATTGAGAAATAAATCCCGATTCAATGTCGTTATTTGAAAAAAACAAAAACAAAAACGAAGAAAAACATATATGTAAATGTGAAAATTCTTTTTGATATTTTACAAACGCGCATCCGTGTGCAGGGCCAGGACGCCGTCAAAGTCCTCGGCGCCAATGCTAATGTAGCCATAGCCATTGCCATCCACAGTCACCGATTTGCCTGTACAGGCCCCATTCACCAGATTGCCGGAGATGACGTCACAGTATTCGCCAGCTGGCAGACAGGTTTGCAAATGCTCCGATAAATTGTACAGATTATTATTGAAGGCCACAAAGCCCTTGGAGCCGCGACAGAAGGCAATCTGATTGTCACCATTGTCCCACCAGTTGGTCAGATCGGTGCCACGCACGGTGTTCTTGAAGCCCACCATATTGTAGATCTGACGCCAGCGATGCTCGCAGATCCAGCCGTTGGTGCAGGCGCCATCCGCATCGAATTCCGGTGAGATGATGCGCTCCTGGGCATCCTGTGGCGGCGCCTGATCGCGATTATCAAAGCCAAAGGAGCTCATCACCTGACTGATGCCGTACGGGTAGGCCAAATGGAAGGCGGTGGCCATTTTGTACTGCTTGGGCGACTTGTAGTTGAGCTCCTGCCCACCATCACGCTGATTGTCATGATTGTCCACAAAGGTCAGTGCCTGGTCCGAGGGCAAGAAGCCCCAATCGGTGCCCCAGCTCTGGAGCCATTTCAGAGCATTGTTGCCACGGAAAGCTTTGCCAATTTCCTCCGAGAAACGGAACTCGGTGACGGCGCCAAGGGGTGTGTACTCATCGCGTGAAACTGTCTCATGTCCGTGGTCGATCACCTCCTGGTAGATGAAGGGGCGAGCGTTGTTGGGGAAGCCGTGGGCGGTATTCAGGTCACGCATGTTGCTGTAAATATACTAAAAATGGTGGTTCAGCCAAGGGTTCTAGCTCCAAGGACACGCGACCTTACATCCAAATCGGCGGCAGCCATGTGCTTGGCTGCATCCACGCGGAAGCCGGCGACGCCGAGCGTAATTAGATGATCCAGCATTTCAATCAGTTGCTTGCGCACATAATCGCTGCTCTGATCCAGATCCTTGAGGCCCACCAGCTCGCATTGCTGCACTTGGAAGCGATCGTTCCAGTCGTATATCTCACAGCTGGGATGGAAATCCTGCGCTGTATAGGGCACAGCCGGGAAGGACTTGCTGCCGGGCTCGGCCACAGAGCCGCCAGTGCCGTGGGCAGTCCCCACCCAGTCGCCGGACATGTGATTGAGCAGAACATCCACATAGATGCGCACACCCACATCATTGCAGCGGCGCACCATGTCAGCGAACTCCAGCTCGTTGCCGGAGCGTGTGATCAGCTTGTAGGAGATGGGCTGGTAGCGTTCCCACCATGGCCGACCCTCGGATATGATGTTCTCGGCAACGGGGCTCACCTGTACGCCCGCATAGCCATGCGGCGCCAGGAAATCCTCGCACTCCTGCGCAATGTCTGCCCATTTCCATTCAAACAGATGGACAATGGTGTTGCGATTGCCCCACCATTGTGGATTGTGCTGGGCCAGCGCCAAGCTGGCCAACATACAGACTAACGTTAGCTTAAGCATGTCCCAAGAAACTGTAAGTGGATGCCACGCGACACTCCACTTTTATAGTGTGACCTAATCTAATCATTTCTTGACTGCGGGATTTGTTAGCTTCGTGTGGTACCAATTTACAGCCGGGCCAATCGCGAATATTATTCGAATTTATGATAGGCCCAAACAACTGGCGTGTTGACCTATGTTAATAATAGCACAAGACATTACTCAGAAAAAACCCCTAAACATAAAGTAAAAACATTTTGATTTGTTTTATTCATGGCTTAATGACAGCTGCAACTCACACGTATCTAATTACATTTATATTTGCAATCTTTTCAATTATAAACACTTCAGAATCGAATGGAATATACTCTATACACTTCATACTCTGCAATTAGCTAATAAATGAGCTGATTCGCGGACTTGAATTCACATATTTGGTTGTACTTTTTTATTGTATATTAATAAGTTTAAATTTAAAATATTTTGTTTATTTTGCAATTAACCAGTACATTTAAAACCCCAAACGGTCTTAATCGAATTTCAGTTCGACATAAATGTAATCGATAGCAAAAAGAGTCTGCTTGCGATATATTTATCACGCACAGCCTTAACGATATATCGAGACATAATCATTCATTCACAATCGCGAGCCGCAAAAGTTTAAACGAGCGTACATATTTCATTTAAAAAAGTGGTTTTTACATTCTCTTTTGTAACAGATATTATTTTTAAAGCATAAACATATGTATTGTGAGCTAGTGGCAAAAGAAAGCTACAATTGATTGTTTTCTTTATTGTTTTAAAATTGGCTCTTAAGTTTAAGCCCTGCAATGCAATGCAAAGCGGGCAAAATGTTGCTGTGCGGAAAAATGTTGCTGTGCGGGCAAAATGTTGCTATGGTAAGAAACATGTTGCCAAGCTGCAAACAATGTAGCTGGGTTGAATTTGTTGCAGAGTTAAGCTAAATGTTGCGAGCCGCAACTGAAATGTTGTAAAAGTAAAATGTCGCCCTACCAAAGTTGTCGAAAGCGTATTTAAATTTCGGTATTCGGGCGTTAATTTTCCCGTGTAGTTTATTTAATTTCTGTAATTTATGGTTGATGTTCAAAATGCTTATCAATAACCGAGCTGATTAGTTACGACCTCTGATATAGAAAACAGATTTCTGCTGATTGCTATTTTTGTCACCTGGCCAGCCAAAGTTCGGACGCCTGTGCAAGGTTTGTAACTTCTGCCGTGCACGGCATTCCTGTACATAATTTCTGCGCAGTATCACCGTGAAATAGTAAATGATCTCCACCAGGGATAGCATGCTCATGCCCACAAATAGGCTGAATGCGCTGCCCAGATTTGCTGGCGGGAAAGAGATCGAGTTTTTACACAGTACAGAGTTATCCAAAACCAAACTTACAGACTAGGGTGACCATATTTGAGAGCAAATCGACGCGCACACGTCGGTAAACTTGCGAATTGAGAAATATGTGAACGATGGCATCGTTTTTCTCGATGCCGCTGCTGTGAATCGGAGTGTTTATAGAAGATTGGAACAATCAGTACCGAACAAGTACTCACTAGAAAGGATCCACCACGGGCATATTCAGCATCAGAGCGAAGTTCGACATTTGGACATCGTAGTCAAAGTGTTCACAGGTTAAAGGACAATTGCACTGAGTCTTTTTCCTCCGTGTTATGATATCGGCTATAGGAAAGCAAAGGAGTTAATTAACCTAAGCGATTGTGGGCTTTCTCTGTGAGAGTTGCAAGTGAGTGGCAAATAACTGTAATCTAGTTTGAGATACCTACGAAAATTATCCACCAGACAGGGTATATCGCGAAAGGTGCAAACGCGATCCTTGGTGCGATTGAACTCAAAGAAATAGGTGTGACAACCGCAGAGCTTGACCATGTTCTTAGCGCGACAGTTGAGCTCACAGTTGGGATAAACATAATCCGAAAAGTAGCGCAAACGGAACTCGTGGCGAAAGACGCAGTTCCTCTGCGAAATGGGCAGCGACTTGACCGCCTCTGAACAAAAGGTCTCCACAACACGCAGCGTGGCAAAGGATTCCGTGTTGAGACCGAGAAACTTGCAATCGGCATGGGCGCTAGGAAAGGCGTCTGTCTCCTGGATGAGCAGCTTGAAGCCATGTGAATAGGATTGCAGTGCATCATAGTTTTCGTCCTTGTAGCGTAATATTAAGGATAGGCCATTGTCCAGACCGCCGGCCGCCGCTTGGGCAGTGAAATCGAGGCTGATGGGGCGCAAAGCATTGCAAAACCATTCGATAAGCGGGTTTTTGTAGGCTTACCCGTGCTGTCGCAGATTGAAGGAGCAGCAGTGCCCAAAGAAGGTCTTCGATAGCTGAAAAAGCTGCGTGCAGTCCATAATGTCTCCATGGTAACGACAACGATGCAGTAGCTCATGGCAATCCCAGCGCAGTCGATCCACAAATTGCACCATGGTCAAATTATTGTCCAGCAGCACTGACTCCATTAGCTCAATCTCTGCCGGCGAGAAGCGAGCATCGTCCAGCATGAAGCCGCTAAAGATGTGCAAATGCTGCAGCACATCGGCCACCTGGACACCCTCCGGCAGCTTGCTAAAAGTGAAAGTTTGCTATAGAGATGATGCAGTGCAGCATGTTTGCGTTTACACACAGTGTCTCGATGTAAGCCTTGGACTTGTCCATATTGAACAGCACCTCGGGACAGATGGTGATGGGCGGAAAGTAGAGCTTGCCAACGGGCGTATGATCACTCTCCACATTCATGCGAGTCGGACTGCTTCGATAGTCCACATAGAAGGTGTGCGTCATGACAATGGCGCATATGAACATCACCAGCGAGATGAGTATCCACACAAAGTGCACCAGACGGTTCGTGTCCTTGTCGCGTGTGTACTTCAGTCCGTGTATGCTGCTCGTGGCACAGAAATCGCACCAGGTGCGCCTCAGTGCGCCGTGCAAAGGCGAAATTTTTGGATTGACTTGGTCCAAACTGAGCTCCTCTTCGTGAACCATTCTCTCTGACTATTGCTGTATCTAGAATGCCTTGAGCCTCGGCATTTGTTTCCCTTTTTATTTGCTGCCTAAGTGGGCGTGGCTACACTTGACAGTTGACATTCGAACAACTGTGTATTAATATCCAATTAGTGTAGCGGCTGTCTCAGGACACCCTTAACGCCCTGATTCGAAGTACCCCATTAGATTACTTATAGATTGCCCAAATTATTTGACCTAAAGCTGCCAATCGAGAGAATAAAACGTTTGTAAATTGGTTTTTAGCAGTTATAAATTTTATTTGCAAACTTTTGGTGTCTTTTTGCTTGTACGTTGAATCGTTTGCTTATACATAACGATATATGCATATCAATATATATGTATGTATAGTAAAGTATATAATATTTTATTCATGGTTCAACAATGTTATTACTTAATTCACTTCAATTGAATTGACATTATTTATGTAAAAAGAAAAACTAAACTCTCTGCTATCACAATAAGAAACTACGCATTTTAAATGGTAGACAATTGAATACCCTTCTCAGGCACTGCACTGCCAAAAATTGTTCAACTACGTTAACAATATGTGACTTTAATTTTATTTTGTGCTCGCTTTTTTTTATATTTTTGTTGGCTGACTGATTATTGTCTTTTATACTTTCTGTATTTGGATTCTGAGGTTGGGGGCAATTCTAATGCGCTAATAACAACTTTTGGCTTAGAGTATAATGAACTAAAACAATAACTTAAACTAGCTTGTGTGTAGTAAAGTGTAATGGTAATTACTGCCTAGACTCGCTGGCCGTGATGGCCAGTGTCGCCGAATTGCCATTGCTCAGCCTTGCGGTTGGTGGGTTGTTTGTGCTGCTGGCACTGTTACCGTTCCCCAGACTCGGCTTGTGCTCATCGTTCTCCGGATTGTCCCAGAACTGACGCTCGCCGGAGCCAAAGATGTTGTAGAAGGTGCCGCAAATGATGTACACAAACGCGGCTATAAAGAACACAATCTGCCATTGTCCCATTGTGGGCTGCGCAATTAAAGGAGTAAACAATTAAAAAGCTGTTCGTGTTGTCATATAGAAGTCCCATCCCACTTACCTTGTTGTTGATCAGATTGCCCGCAGCTATGGGCGCCAGCAGACCCGCCAGATTCGCTGAGCAATTCGTGATGGCCATGAGGAAACCAGCAAATCGAGGCGTCAGATCCAAGTGATTGATCTTAAAGCCAGAGTAGATGCCACCATTAAGGCCCACGCCAATGGTGAGAATAGCCAGAGTCAAGGCACGATCACAGCCCGTGTACGAGGCGGCAATCAGAGCCAAACCGGGTCCATACTGACCAATGCTGTTGATGATCTTTCTGGTGGCCGTCAGCGTAAAGCGCTTTGAGCTGATCATCCAATCCGCCACCACCGATATAAACATGGAGAAGAGCCACATGGCCAGATAGGGCAGCGAGCTGAGCAGACCGTTGGATTTCAGGGAGAAACGCAACACCTGCTTCATGTATGTGGGCAGTTCCGTCATTAGCGTCTCGTAGCCATAGTTGTGGCCCATGTGGGCGAAGAGAATCGCATAGAAAGGCAGCGACTTGATGATGGCCTTGAACGGAATGGGAGGGCTCTAAGGGGGAGAAAGAGGACTAACTAACATCTGAGCTGGTTGACCAGATGAAGAGCTGCTCTCACCTTGATCACATCTGTGCCCCAGAGCGAGTCGTTGATGTAACGCTTCTCACGCTCATCGATGCGCGGATGCGACGAGGGATCCTCATAGATCAGAATGAGAAAAGCAATAGACCAGATCGTGCCCACCACACCAAACACATAGAAGATCGACGGCCAGCCACCGGAAAAACCATATTCCGCCAGCAGACCTGACAGCGGCATGGAAATAATCGTGCCAAATTGAGCGCCTGCATAGACTGCAGCGCCCATCCGGGAGCGTTCATTGGGCGGTATCCACTTGGCCAGCAGAGCATGTGTGCAGGGCACAATAGGTCCCTCGCCCAGGCCCTGAATAAAGCGCACAGCACACAAACCGTAGACGCCGCCCTCGCGAGCTGCAACCGGCACCACAAAGGCGAACACCGAATTGATGAGCATGCCCCAGCCGAGGAAGCGCAGGGCGCCGTATTTCTTGGCCAATATGCCAAAGGGTATCTGGGTGATCACATAGCCATAGAAGAAGGATGACAGTATATAGCCCTGCAAGCTGGAGCTCCAGGGAAACTCGCCGTCCTCGCCATTATCCTAAAACCGTAAAGAAATGCGGTTAGAGTCTGTTCGAATGTTATCGATTTAGAGCTTAAACTTACAACTTCCAATTCACGATCGCCGCACTCATCGTCGAGTATCTCCTCGCCCTGCTGAATCGCCGTATGGTTAACCATGGCCACAATAGCCACCGACATATTGGTGCGCATCACGTACGCATTGGCCATGCCCAGAAAGAGCATGAATGTGACAAAATAGCGGGTGGTGGCCCATCCTGCAAAGAGTTAAATAAGAGAACATGTAGTTGACGTCGAAGAGACTGTTCGAATGGATCAGCATCCTTAAATTAGAATCAATTAATGTGCAAAGTCTGTCGGCATTTATTTGCGAGAAAGATTTCCAAATAACATCTTAAATAAACCCAGAACGGAAATGAGCCCAACAAAAAATTCGATAAACACAAAACATAAGCGAACGAATCGGCAATGCCCGACTAAAAGCTGCCCTGCGAGCTGCCAATAATTACAAGATGGGCACAACCTTGAAATTAATTCTTTCTTAAATAATGTCTGTGTTTGAATGCCAATCTGTGTACATGCCAACAATCAGCACTATAAAAGTCTTTTCTTATGTCTCGAAGAACCCTTCTACTGCCAGCTACAGACTTTTACAGAACTTGTGGGTACAGGGTATATAGAGATACAGATAGATATACAAAACGAGGTCAAAGCGAGGCGCAAGATAAGTCGCAGTGCCCGACGATTTCAGACAAATCAGATAAGATAGAATATAGTATAGCCATGTCTCAATGCCAAGCAGATGCCGTGGATTCTGGACCGTCTTTAATTGCCTCACGTTTCTAGCTACTATGAAATCATGATGCGGGCCACTGCGCAACTTGAAGCACAGCTCGAAACTATTTCTAGACCAGACCGAAGCGAGTCAAATTAGACATTGTTATTTTTGAATGCTGTTAATATAGAATCGATTGTTTGTTTATTTTTGCAATGTCATTCGACAACTCAGCCGATTGTCGCCGCGCACGGGCAGGCAACACGTGATATTTATGTGATGGGTGTGGAAATTTCTAGTCATATTTGGGCTTGCCTTTTCAGGTTTATGGCCAGATTTCAGGGCGTTAAAAAAAAGGTATTTATTTGCTAACAATTCGAGCTGGCCTGGAGTTCGCCGAGTCAATTTCAACTATTTAGAAAGCACAGCTGTACTCGGAGAATGCTTAACCCATGCCAAATGGAATTTGAACTTTCAGCCATTTAGTTTTGCCCCTTTCATGTTTTTTTGCCCAGCTTGTAGCTCAACAGACCGGCAATATTTTCTGTTTTTGCTTAATTTCAAAATGTTCTGTTCGCTTGTTTTATTTTACCCGCAACATTTTTCCACAAAATATGACATAAAGCACTGCGGAAAAACCGAGCCAAAGAACTGCTGAATCGCAAACAATTTCGAGAGAGAAAAAAACAAATACCAAATTAAAGAATTGTATACGTTTGCGTTTTTTATATGTGCGCACGCAGCGTTAAATCGCACAATTTGCCAAAGCAGCCGCTGGCCTCCCTCGCCTACCCCCTCTCCTGCTCACATGTTGCACAATCAATGCGGCATGCCCAGCGGCAGCACGTGTATGTCGCGCGTCAGCACAGGGCAAACAGCGCTACTCGTGCCGTGCCTCATGCCTCGACTATTTCTCTACTATCTAAAATGGGCAGCATGAACGAATTGCGGCTATAAATAATACGTATACGCAGCGTGCGCACCAAGCACTAAGTGACGGCATATGTATACCCTTTAATATTGCTAGCTTGAACTTTCTTCAAATACGATACACATATAAGCAAAAGCCTTTTTATTCACTTCTCTTCAACTATAGAGATTTATTCACAGCTCGTCAATGCACTTTAGGCATTCCACTTTGTAGCTTACCCCTTGGCCTGTCATGCAGATTGTTTTGATCCCAGACGAGGACATGGCCATCGCGATGGCGATGATTAAGTTTGCTGCGCCGGAAGGGCATTTTGTGTGCCTGCCTTGTGTGGAGGTTTTCGAGTTGTATAAATAAATTAAAGTTAACTAAAACTAAATTCGAACGAGCTCACGATGCGTTGCCTGAAACACTCGGCAGTACAGAAACGAATTCTCTGATTGTTGTTGTCAATGTTGTTATTGTTGTTGCGAATTAGACTTTTTGCGCACTCGTTTAAACCATTTCATTGTCTATCTGTAGAGCGGGCCGGGCCTGAACATGTCGCGGGTCAAGATATTACAACGGAGCTTATTAATACAACTGTTTGCTTAATGCAGCGTCGCGCGTTGCACTCGACAAGGTGTACACGACTGAGCTGAGGCAGAAGTATTTAAATTCAAATCCAATTTGGAATCGACTCTGTGGGCGCCTCTGCGGCAACTGAGCGCCAACTGTTGCGCTTTCTGGCTATATAATAAACGGGGCCGAAATCGCCGAACGGTCGAGGCGCTTGCGCCGCAGTGTGAGAGAAGGAGATAGTGAGAGAGGGAGCGAGAGGGAGAGAGCGCAACAGACTCTCGCACGATTACATCAACTATTTGAAGGGAGCTGGGGGGAATGCTCAGCGATATGGTCAGAGCATATGTCAGCCACAAACTGAATCATCAGCTGTTGTTGAACCTAAGTCGATTGATGTCAATTGCTTTATATATAGTACCAAAACGAGATCTATTTATAGCTGATAGACGTAAGCATCTCGTGACCGCCGGAGCACGGAACTCGACAAGAACTAACTCTTAATTCTTAGCACGCGCTGTGTATTTGCCAAATGTGCGGCCAGACTATGGAAATAGTA